TTTTGAGTGCATGTGTTGTTGGATTGGTGTGTATTGAGGCCTCACCGCACCTACTCGCCAAACTCGAAAATGGTTGGCGAGTTCTCACCAACGCGGCGAGGCCTCAAAACTCACCAAAACGAGGCCCGCCCACACCACCTCACCAAAGCTCTCTTTTCACGGAATTGCGTCCCCGCAGGTCCACTAAAGACAAACGAAAAACATAAAAAGTATTCCCAGACAAGCATCTGGACCGGTGGGAATCTCGCCTATCTCGAGGGTTGGAAAGAGCTCCATTTTGTGCGGGCTACATCAGCCCTCACCAACTCAAATCGTCGTGAATTTGCATGAATTTCTTACACATGAATTGGTGAGGTAGTGCAGCGACTCCGACCTCACCAACACTTGTCTGGTGGAGAGGCCCTTGTTCGTGTATCTCCTTCTTCTACTCTTCGTAATTCTTCAAACTCAGCTATTGTCAGCCTGGCTCCACCAATCAGCACATAGCAGTGCATCTTTCCCTGTTCTCGATGAAGAATCATTCTCATTTTGCACATATGGAGAGTAGTGGAGCGAGGCTGTGTTGTGATGCGCAACCTAACACCCCGCACGGCGTTTCGTACTAAGGCATGTCGATCGAAGTAATTGGGGCCGTGGCCGAGGATTTTGGGCAGGGGTTGAATCACCCAGACGAAACGGGGGATTCTCGCTTCGTTCCGAGGCTATTCCTTAATTAAAGCTGACGTACAGGGCAAAAAGAATACACTAGGGAGTTCGAGTGGTAAACAAAGCTGATGCGCGGGATATAACCAAAATTCCGCTCCGCCGTGGGCTGGGAAAAACGCGTGACTAGGCCGCCGCCAGGCAACAGGAAAAAGGAAAAGGAGGACACAGAATTTACCGCTTCTCTCAAACCAGGTTCACGCCAACTCTAGTGTAAGAACCCAAGAGATGAGGGCCATCTAGGCCTGTGAGTCGGATTCATCGAGTTTGCGAGGTCAACTAGGAGCCTCGTCGTCCAATTGGGGCAAGGACAGGGGAACCCGGGTTCGGAATCTCACCGGTAGGGCGCCCGCACTGCGGGAGAGTTCTCGAAATCTGGCAGAGCCTTCGTACCCCAGAACCAGCCTCCGCCTGGAACACGAGTCTCCCTGCCGACAACAGGGACAGTTACGCTGGGGCCGCCACGTGGCGTGGGCCACTGACCACGACAGCACCGTCAAGTCTGTGTAAGGCAAGATGAAGGGCGGGAAGGAAAACCGATCAATCAGAACAAACCCACTCCCCCTTATGTGACACGGTGACAGGCCTTCGGTGGGTTGTATAAATGAACCTGGTCGACTCCCAGCAACGCGCTTCGCACATCCGTATCGCAATACACCGTCTTCGTCTGCGATCGGGAAAGGCGGAAGGGTGTTGTGGCGGATCGACGAGAGGTTCGAGCACGGGCCGTTACTTGCACTCATGTTTAACGTGGCAAATCTCGACTCCATACGAATCTTAATGAGTCTCGCCCCACTCCCTGCTACGTAATCAAAATTGCAAGTTCGGGGACACAACGTCATTAATCGCAGAATTGTTACCAGAGCAAAATGGTTGTGGCCGGGTACCAAAGAGATTGGGCGATGCAAGAAGACGCATGCGACCAATGTCTCTGGTTGCCAGCAACCACCCTGATGAAACACAGGACCAACCGACACGTGGCACTGCGCGCGAGAGGGGAGAGAGGGAAAGGTCGACAACGATCCCCACGCTCAAACGTAGCGCCGGGATCGGCAAGGGTTGGGGAAACGAGGGAAATCAACACGCTCATGCATTCAGGCAGACGTTTGACGCCCCCACACTCCCCAGAGTTGCGCCCAGATGTGCCTTACACCCGTGACCTCATTCCACATCTATACATCCATCTATCTTGGACAGCGCAGGATTCAGCATCCATAGACCATCATAAACAACGTCATGCATGCGTCTAAGTACCCACATTTAGTCTACAACACACAACACGCCTGGACAAAGCAGTAATGGAGAAAAGAGCAAGTCCCTCACTATTCAAAATTCCAACATGGCTAGCCTCCTTCAGGCGCAGCCACCAACCCACCTGAACGTCCACCAACCACAGCCACAAGGCCTTGCTGTTGGCTGCATTCGATCTCCACCATCGCTCAGTCCCTCGGACTGCCTTACCCCCAAGTCTACGGCTAATCCCACCTCACGTCGTCATTCTGTGCGTCACTTGGGCACGTCGAGCATGTTCAACGTCGTGGTTTTCGTGCATAGCTCGCGCAACATTGCAGCCGAGATCAAAAGAGGAGGAAAGGAAGGGGCTGCATGAATTTATAGCGTGGAAGGTGGCGGGGTGTCAGTGTGGGATGTGCGCAGCAAGGGGTGTAGATGAGCAGGACAGAAGAAGAGAGGAGGTTCCAGGAGGATTGAAGAAGGTGGGGCGATTGGCATTTTTCGTTCAATTGGGGTGGTCGTCCAAGCCGCGCGCATAAGGCTGCTTTCTCGACATTGATCCGTCCATCCCAACTAACGACCAATCGATCTCCCCAAAACGAAGAGGACGATCGGGCGCATAGTCGGGGGAACACGAAAGGACATGCAAGGAAAAGCACTCTGCCAAAGGAGAAGATGGCGCACACCCGCACGCAGGGAGCCAAGCTTATGCAACCTGCAAGAATTCAAAAATGACCGCGCGCGCAAAGAAAATTTAAATGCCCATAACCGGAATTCCAACTGTTTCTTGGATTTCTCCTCACGGCCGCTAACTGTCCTCGCGGAGAACTAATTTGAACGAGGGCAGGGGCAATTTCAAAAGATGCATACCGTTAATTTCCCAAAAATGAGAAGAAGACCCCGCTTGTCTTGATCAGCTAAGATCCGTGCTTCGGTGACGGGGCTTACTTCGGGTTTTACTTCGAAGGGTATGTGAAGCCGTGAGGGACTAAGGAGAGAGATCTACTAAGGGCAAATTATTGCATGCCCAGGACGGAGGTGGGCCAAGGTTGGTACTGCCAAACTGCAGTTATACCCAACTACTGCAATGCTCAAATTATGCTCACAGCTGGGCGAATTATGTGCATACCCAATTTTGCCTGCCCGGTTTCCACGCATAAGCATAATATTGTGCTTCCCAACCGAGGCCCTGTGGGACTGGGTACGTGTAGTATAAGTTGGTGCATGGGAGAAGTAGGGTATTACCTTAAACAACCAGTACCTTTCCCTGCTGAAAAACAAATGCCCGCCGGTTAACACAGGGGGCAGGCAGATTTGGCACTACCGGCACAAAATGGCTGGTGGCGCCAGCCAAAATCGAATCTGCGCCGGTTCGTTTTTCTTTTCGTTCGCAGGTCGATTTTAGGCTCGGCACCAACAGCTGAGAAAGGTACTGGCGGTTTAAGTTGAACAGGGTCTGGGTATAGATGCAAGTTGGGGTCTGGGAAGGGGTATAGCAGGTATTCCCACCCTTTTTCTTTTTTTTTAAACATAAGGATTTCAAATTTCAACGGATTTATTGTGCTTCATGTTGCTTGCTATAGACGTAAAACTGTTTCATTGTTGGAATGTCTCAACTCAGGCGTGCTTCGTTGCCTGCAATAGAACTAAAGCTGCTTCATTTTTTTTTACTTTTTTTTTTTAAAGCTGCTTCATTTTTGGTTCTGCTCATCTGGTGGATTAGGGGCTGTTGTGGTGAGCATCGAAAACACACACACACACACACACACACACACACACACACACACACACACACACACACACACACTCTGCCTCCTTTGATAGCTTGCAAGTGGGCCATTACCGCACACGGGGATGTGGGCAGCTTGTGCTCAACCACAATCAATGTGGCAAGCCTTGTATGCTGGAGGCATTGTAAAAGGGAGAGCTGCAAGAACAAATAAAATGGGTACCCCAAGAGATAGCGAAGAAAGGGACGCCATGGATCTATTGTGCTTCATGTTGTTTGCTGTAGAGGTAAAACTGATTCATTTTTGGATTGGCTTATCTTTAGTGTGCTACATTTTTGACAATTGAGATTGGCTTATCTTTAGTGTGCAACATTTTTTACAATTGAGGTAAAGCTGCTTCGAGTTTGGATCGACTCACCTAAATGGGAAAAATCGGGTGGATGGGCTTGGCAGGGAGTGGCAAGAGCACCTTCCTGTCTGAGACCTCACCCTGTTCATTGCTCTGTTCCATTGGGGGATAGCTCCACCTGATGGAAACCGGGTCCAGCGTCCCTGTAAATAAAACAGAAGCATTGAGATATGAACTGCTGCATGCTGGCAGCAAATACCTTACTGTTTTCTTTACTCATTCCTGGCTTCCTTCTCAATGTGCAAAAGGGACGCTGGACCTGTTTTCCAGCAGGCGAGGCTCCCCACCAACTGCTGCAGATTACATCTAGCAGGCCCATGACTTGCATTTCCTACCACTGCTTAACAAAAGAATCAAAAAGATCATTGGAGCAATATCCCCTTAGCAAGCAAGGCCTCAATTCCAACGGTTCACTTGCCACCACTATCTTCTTCCCCCGAACACAACGCACCCTGATTATGGCTGTACTGAACCGGAAAGATAGCTTTCATTCATTCCTCAATTCCGGTGGTTCACTTGGCACCACTACCATCTTCCCCCGAACACAACGCACCCTGATTATGGCTGTACCGAACCGGAAAGATAGCTTGCATACATTCATTTTCAGGGTGCCCTATGTTTGGGGGAAGACGGTAGTGTTATGAACTTGGTTGTCTGACAATTTTCTCGCCACTCACACACAAAGTATCTAACACATGCCCATACATGCATAAGACCAGGGGGAGGAGAGACAGAGTCCAAACTGTACACAGACCAGAGATAAGCAGCAGAATAGCAACCATGCACAGATGGGGAGAATACACACAGTGTTTCTCTCTCTCTGACACACTCCCAACAACCAATCACAAGATGACACTGCGAAGATCACAATCGGAATATAACACAGATGATGAGCCAACTCAACACAATTAACCCTATTATCGTTACAGAGTTTAACCCAGTGTCTCGCCACCTCAATATCACACACCACACCCACTATCCCACTCTCAGAGACAAGCGCTACACTGAAACAGCCTCCCCGAGGCCAGCACCAACCACCAAGATGCAGATCATGAACTGCGATGTAATCCTCAGTGCCGATGAGTCACTCTTACGAAGGAGAAGGAAGCTATGGCTGCCGAGCTGCTACAGAAGCCCTGCGAAGTAGGGCGCCAGCAACAGCATCCACCTATACACTATGAAGAGCGTCAGATAGCCCTGCCGCAGGCAGATACCCCCAGGGGTAGATGCGTTGAGAGTGCCCCAGCTCTGGCAGACTCTCTGGGGCCAGCTACGGCTGTCACCACCAAGCTGAAGTCCGGGGTGCCGCTCGGATCTTCAGCGCTGCAGAACTTCCTTGGCCACCAACGCTGCTTCGCGAAAATGAATTGCCAAAAGTCCTGAATCGGTGTCCCTCCCCTACCTATAGACTCACTAGTCTAACCTAGACCTAGACCGGACTGACTGACTGATTGGTACCGTTGCTGTTTCGGCCTCTCGGCCTCTACAGGACCCGGCTATAGGCTATAGGACCGTCTACCAGAATAGGTCACTTAGGGCCTGTCTGTCCTAGGGGTAGCCCGGGCCTGCGATAGGCAATTAGGGTAGCTGTAGGAATTCGGGTTAGTACCGGGCCTGTATTTTCCCCGGATTTACAGATCTGTCCCTCACGAATTTCCTCACAGGCTGGTCTCTCGGTTAGCCCTCAGCCAAACAAAATTACAAAACTAACCTACCGGTTAGTGTACAGCCTCGCAGTTACTCTCGGCAGCAGAAATCAGCAAGTCATTGCAGTAGGATAGTAGCTGTGCGCTCTGATGTTCTTCAGGGCAAAAAAAAAAAAAAAAAAAAAAAAACAGAGGTAACTACAGAGCAGTCACAATTTCAAGTTTTTTTAATTTTTATTTTTCTTAACTAAGCTATATTCTTCTCTCAATCTATCTATGTACTCATCTTTCTCATCTATCTCATCCTCTCACTAGTCCATGTAATATGTATGTATAGTACCGGGAACACCAACCAACCCGGAACTCTCCCCAGCCCACGGGGTAGGTTTGCACCACAGGAGTTTTAAATGCACTTCCGTCAGTCATTCCCTCGAAAATAACGCACTCCCACGTGACCGTACCAGACCCGAATCCTGGCTTGTATACGTTCAACATTTTCTGGCCTTTTGCCAAGACTGCATTTCAGACTTGAAACCCTGACTGCGCCTTAGTTATTTCAAAAAAAAAGAGACTCATGGGGCCTTGCACCCTATGTGAAATCATTGAAATGGACTACTGTACAAAAGTATCCCTCCCCCTCCACCTCCAACCCAGCCCAGATTCTTGAGGGTGCTGACATGTCATTGCAGGGGTGGAGATAAGACAGCTGGGCCACGTTGACAGGAACTCATGAATCCATTACGTCGCAGAAGCAAGAGCGGCAGCAGCAGCACAAGCTTTCTCCACCTGTGCCGCGTTGACAAGATAAGCGAATCCGTGAGCAAGATTTTTGAGGGTGCTGATGTGGAGGTCGTCGTTCGACGTGGCAGTCCCATCGATGGAGAAGAACACGCGAAATCCTCGGACGAAAGCTTCTCTTGCTGCAGTCTCGCAGCAGAGATTGGTCATTACGCCGCACACAATCACCTCCTCCCTCTTCCATTCTCTCAACATCTTCTCCAGGTCCACGTCAGTCCTTACGAAAGAGCTATATCCGCGCTTCCGAATCAAGAGATCCGACGGCTGTCGAGTGCTCGCCACCTCAGGCATAATCTCAACATCCTTGGTCCCTTCCATCATGACAGAGTCGGAACCCCACCACTCCGCTAGCATCCTCCCATCTTGTGGGTCATGAGGATCAGAGTGACAGTTGTACGTGTAGACGATCGGCACCCCGGCCGAGTGACACGAGGCAATCATCCGCTTAATTTCTGGAAGTATAGGTTCCGCCATCCCCCGGAAATACTCTTGCATATCAATCACCATCAGGACGGCCTTTGCTGGGTTCGGTAACCGATGACGAACATTATATTTCCTCACCGATGATCTTAGATATTCACTCATCTCGGCTTTCGATCTCTCTCTAACCCAGGTCGCCTGTTATGGGCCCACGTGAGTCCCAGGGACCCGAAGGGACAGCGCAGCCCTTGGTTCCTCCGCCTTGTTGAGGTTCCGTTACGTGGGCTGCGCGCACTTCGCTTGTACCTGAATAGAACGGTGACCGTTGCTCAAATACAAGTACATACCTGCACCGTGTGGATGAGAAGCACAAACCTGACTGTTAGTAAACAGGTCGTAAGTTCGAACTGCAGTGGAATTAGATGTCTTGTGGGG